TGTTTTTGGATTCTTTTTCTGAAAGATTGTTAACGCGTTTTTTAAGGGGCTTGTCTGAATGGAAATTGTAATAAACCCTTAGAAGCATTTATGAAAGGGTATATGAAAATTAAATACCCTTATAAGGGTTTATGAAAGGGATTAAGAAACTTTTCACATACGGTAAAAGGGTTTAGTCTACGCTGCACTTTCATAAACCCTTAAAGGGTTTATTGTTCTACCCTTTTTTTTTACAGTGTACTAGTCATCGATGAATTTAAACACTGAAAATTTCAGTTATATCGTATTACATAACTATAAGAATTAATTTTCATTTACAATAATATCATTTACATCTGTGCTTTGTGCCAGCAACACAATCCGTCACATATTCAAATGTACCGGTTATCGTCACCGTTCCATCCCTACCTATTGGATGAATGATACCAAGAGAAATGGCAGAGTGAACAAATTCAAGTTGTTATTTACACAAGAAGACGGTGAGTGAGACATGGTTCAAATGTACTGATGGGTTGCCTGATGATGTAATATAATGTGCTAAAAGATTTTCGAAAACCTTAAACTAAGGTTGTTATATCTCTTATCTTTCGAATGACGACAGAACGGTGAAAAAGAATCCCCCTTCGCATGGAATCGAACCATGCACCTCCTGCTTACCGGGCAGACGTATTAACTACTTTACTTGAAAGGGTATCTCTTTCCGTCTCACGATTATATGGGAACAATACTATCGCAACAAAGGTCATATTGTATAACAGTGCTCATTTTTTTTTAACAAGGGATATTTACTTTTGGCCAGTCTTGTAATATCACAATAATCCACCGCAATTAGAAAAAAAGGATTGTTGAAGCCAAAAACTTTGAAGGCATTTATCACTCCATGGAGTTCATTGAATCAATATATTCGACTTCATTGATAGTTCTGAGTAATGTGTCAGAAATGTTTGCTAAAAAGCGCTTCGAAGTATAACTAGGAATGAAAAATATGAATCTACTTTTGATTTTCAAAATAGCAATTGAAATATTAGTCAGAAGGGTCTAGGTTAGTTGCTCGCGGACGCTTGCTCGCTAGGATACTTGCTTACAAAAATATTTAGAAGCAAACATGTAAGTAAGACATGAAAATATTTATTAATAACAATAAGAATAATGATTAACAATATACAAGAGAAAAGAGACTAAATTGATAACAAGCGTCCGTTATATTTCAATTGGTCCTTCATGTCTGTATGTAGATTTTGAACTAAATTATATAATCGCCTGTTCAATGATTCATTTCTTCGTTTTGGTGGCTGACGACCAGACACAACATTAACGATATCTGGAGGGTGTGTGAAGTGCGAGATGTGGGTGTGGTTGTATTTATCATGTCTTGCTATAAACCCCATACCGACACCCACACCCACACCCTCGAGTTCTATTATGTGCCTTGTCATTTGGTGAGACAAATAAGCGAATCAGCTACAGCTTCTCTTTTTGTAGATCGAAATAAAACTAGTGAATGGTTAAGATTGACAATGGGCATGATATTTTGTTTCATATACGAATGTAGCCATCGAAACTAGATCTATCTGATCCATTGTATTGTGTTATGGCTCTGTGGATTGATATTGATCTGTATTTGAGCAAAACCAAACGGAGTAAAGCTTAAATATCATTGGCATGTCATGGTAGTTGTCTCTCTTGCAACAATATGTGCGTCAATGAGATTTCTCTCTCGATCGATATTTATATCTGAACTGCTGCATTTTGTTGTTCATATCAAGAGTTAACCCTCTTGAAAAATGATGATAACTGATTGTTTCGCTTTCAAGATGTTGGTTTTGCACAATAGTAGGTCAAGCGTTTAGTTATCTTCATGCGATCTTCTATAGATATCATATTTTGCCTATAGTTTCGTAAGGATTTGCCAACAATAGAGAACATCTTATGTATACGTAGATTAATCGATCAAATTTAGATTCGGATATAGGAGACCTGCCCTCCGGTTGTTTGTAGTCTGTAAGGTGAAAATGACAAGGTTTTAATGACGGACAGCATTGGCAAAAAAATGCTTAACTCGGTCAGTCCTATCAGCATATATATAAAAGTTTCGATGCAAAGTTGAACAATGTTATGAGTTGGTGCATGGTTTTATACGACCACCTCATTTGCTCGATCAGAATAAATAGTCTTGATTGACAACTTTTAGAAGCAGCAATATCTCTTACAGGTGCTAGATTCTAGGAGAGAATAGTCACTTCACCAACGACAGCAACGATTAGAGCTACCCAAAGTCAGATTTTCTTGTGTTTCATTACTCCATTTCTTTTTACTGTATCTCAGATTATTGGTCGTTGTGTACAGTAACGAAATCTAGGATGCATAATATGATATTAAATTCATTTTATTTTAAACTACTTCGATATGAGAAGATATTGATGGATGAGACTCCCAGGTCGAGAAATCCCACATTGAATCCGATAGGAACTTGATAGTATCCTACCATCCGACAGAATTTTATAGGAATCCGGGCCGAGGAATTGACGTCGGAACCACTAGTCGGAACCCATTGAACTTCCAATGACATCCAACCAAGGGGTAAAGTGTTGGCTCCAAGCCCCAAACTTTACTATAAAGTGCCAAAGGTGCTGAACACGTGTTAGAGATGCTGAAATATGCTAAAGATGTTAGTAGCTGTGGAAAAGGAACAGTAAAATAAATGAGAAGTATACAACAGGATGACATAACTCTCTGTTAAACTCATTGTTTTCCTTCGATCTTGGTGAATACACTAATTCCACAATAAAAACAGAGGTGTGTCAAATTAGAAACCTGACTTCACAGAAAATCTACACCTAATTTTATTAGCTTGAGAATCATCATTGAATTCTAATTATTTTTCACGAGTTTATTGTGTATTTTGTGAAAACTCAATTTTTAACATCTGGGGTGCCCCTCAAGAATCAAAAAAACGTTGTTCAGATTTTATTGCAAGTAGTCATATTTCAATAAAGTTAAGTTCCCTGATCACAAATACCATTTTAGATTTTAAAATTCATTGTATACTAAGAAAAATCTGAAGCGCTCTCGGAAAGACTTAAAAACAGATATTGATCCAAAGGTCCATCAATATTCGAATTATACTGTTTGAAAATAGGCCCCTTCGACACAGAATGTTTTTGTCTATCAGAGTAGATAAGAACGACTTAGATATTCAAAATTTGTTTTATCGATAAATGCTAAATACCTCATCGATTGCGTCATGCCGCTAGAAACAATGCTATTCTCAATTTTATGAAGTGTAGCTTTTCGACGTTGACCAGAAAGATTCTCTAACGGAATAAGTAATTGATGTGACAACCCTGGTTGAACGTGTATGCATCATTATATACTGTCACTGTTGTGTGAAACGATTGTTTCTGATTGCTGTTCTTACTTATCATATCATTCGTTGCTACCTAACATGTTACTCTCTCTTCTTATATATTCACCTAGTGTTAATTACCGTATCGTGCGTCTATCACTCATCATGCTCAATATAATTGCATACACTATACAAGTATATATCACTAATGAGTTTATCTTATGTTTTCTACTGTTCTTGCTCATACTCAACGATTATGCTTTTTCCTTTCTCTGTCTATGATATCTATTCTCCATCTCTCGTTCCATGATCGCTATATAAAGAGTGGACGAGAGAGAAGAGAGCATTCTTTTGGATAATAAACTCAAGAATCGTTAGAATCGAATGTCCACTTTCTAATAAAACTGTTTTCAAATTAAAAAGCCTTGTAATGTGAAGCGTTTTCGCTCCAATACTACTCTTGAAACCAGATTTCTGTCATTTGTGACTGATATTCGATAGTTTCAAACTGAGTAATTCCTACTTGACTGAATTTAAATATGATATTTTTTTAAGCATAAAATCTAATTCGATTTAATTATTTCTACAACTTTTGTTTTCGGTCAGATTTTCACCTCTGGTCCCCGTCATGGATAGAGAAAAAATTAACTTACTGCAAAAGCCATCCCAAGTCAACCCGAACGCTGCTAGTACGCGCACGGCACAACACACCTCGTACGCGTACGATCGTCACGCGAAATGCGCGCACCGAGCATGTCGGACACGCGTACGCCATGCGCACGAGAGTGCATTTATGCATTTTCGTAATTTTCTCATTGGCTCATTTTGAAATTTCATTAGTCACTCATATCCCATCAAACGTATTGCTTAGAATTATTATATTAATTTTTATTTTGTTTAAATTTAAAACTAAATTTTACAAAAAAANATATCCAATCGTTAAGCCTTTAAAATACTATTTAAGTAAAAGCATAGGTTCTAATATTTTTGCAACGTAGACCTACGTAAAATCATCGAAATACATAATCAAAATATTCCAGACAGAGTTAGCAGCTCATATTTTTTATAGTCATCGATGAAGTGTGTAACATTGTGACTTTGTAATACAATAGAACAGAGAAAACGTGAATATTAATCAGGAACAGTCATGTGGAATTAATTACATTGGCAGTTACAGGAATTTGAAGAAGATATACCATGGCGTGGTTGTGTTGAAGCCACTAAACTCAACTAGCTACCCCCACGGCAACTAGCCTTGCAACAAAAAATAGGCTGTTAGGAGCAAAATATATCCTAGTGGGTCTAAAATATAGTGAACTTAGAGCAGATTGTGCTAAATACGTGTCCGTATAAAATTTGAGCAGAACTCCAATAATTTACGTAGAGGGTCAGCCAATTTCATTTATTATCTGATTAAAAAACTTAAGCCGTTTTGTGAGCGTATATATTAATTACTCAAGAAACCAATAAGATCTAAGATATTCATTCTAGAATAACACCAACATCCGATTTAGTAACTCTTAGTTGTTTCTGAACTTGCTATGGTTTGTTTTGAAAATTTAGTATGATCCACAATCAATTTTATATATATACTTCATACCAAGCACGTTCATCTGAAGGTTATTTACAGAGTGTAGGGTAGAGAGTAATAGTTTCTTTTAAAACATAGCTGCTTATGCATATTGAGTGTCTATAAATTGCTTTTTTTTAGGAACAACGACTACAGCTACAAGTGGCACAGTATCGTGTACTTTCCCGTGTATCTGTACACAAATTGCGTCATACACTCAGTGGCAAGTATTTTCGAGCGACACTATTTTTATGGCAATCAGTACAAGCAGCTGCAATTTCACTCAGACGCCTTTGTATTTTACTAGCATGGCTGGAACGAGTAGTCATTGGATTTTGGCGAGTTACAATGCTATTTATTCACCTTCAAGCATCTCTTTTACAATATATGCCAGAAATGTAATTGGTTGGACTTCATCAGACATGATGACTGCTGCCAGTTCTTACTTTTGGAACGTTAATTGGGTAGGCATGTATAACTAAGTAACGAAATATATGTGCAAATTGAAGTCTCAGACTGCACATTAAGCTATCATAGAAATTTCAAGATATAACAACATCAATATAATTGCGTGCTGTATAAAAACAGTAAATTTCGTGGTAAAAATTAATATTTTGTTGTATAAACTTGTGTGCTCATTGACTTTTTACCACATAATAGTTTTCATCATACGAAATATTGTGTCAAAACGTGTTGTTGAAGTGTTTGAAACAACATGACTTTTCCAGCGAATATAAGTAGGGACAAATGTTGATTGCACTGCTGAGGAACAGCATAGAAGATCTTTTCTATACGATTCAAAATTGATTCATGCGATATGAGAAAAGTATTCAGCTATTTCAATGGAAGTTATGTCAGCAAGTTCATCGGAATATTTCCCGATGACAATTCAAATATACACGAGATAAAGTCATACATTAATTTTTACATTTTTTTCTTCAACGGTATATCATAGAAAGATGACTATGTATGGGTGTGGGTACGAACGTAGAAGACCTTAGATAAAAATTTCATTTTTGAACTCCCCTCATCCTAAGTTGACCGATCCGACTCGCATTCAGTAGGATCTCATCGGATTTTGTCGAACTCTACAGACCTATCGTCGAATTCCGGATTCGAATTTGAATCCTCAGTGCCAGATTTCTATGAATTCCTAAGAAACACTGTTGGATGCAAGGAGCCAGTGCAGGTTTGAAACCCTCAGCACCCCCAGCACCTTTTCTATAGTGAGATTTACTTCAGTTGTATGGAAATGAGTCGGGAAAACTACATTCGTTTTCAATAGTAGAGGTGAATTTTTTCTTGAATTCTTCACAGAATCTGAATGAAAATTATTTCAGAATAGAATAGTCAACAGAAAAAGAAAAACATCCTTCGAAAGTAATCGTAAATCAAATTGCAAAGTGATATACCAAAAAGTTTGACCCTTCTTTTATTAGTGTGAGAACTAACACTGAACTCTAATTATTTTTCAGACGCTTATTTTTCATTTTATCACCGTTGCATTTGTACAGCTTCTGCTTTCTCTCATGTACGAAAAAAACATTGTACGAAATGCCATTCTCCTTGGTAAAAAGAAACCTGCACATAATTTTATTAGCTTGAAAATCATCATTGAATTTGGATTATTTCCCACAACTTTGTTGTGTATTTTATAAAAACTCAATTTTTAACACCTGGACTCCTCCTCAAGGGTCGAAAAACCTTTTTTGTTCTGGTTGTAATATTGATAGTTATATTTCAATAAAGCTAAGCTTTCTGATTACAAGTATCGTCTCAGCTTTGAATTTCGTCGAATAATAAGAAACATATGAAGCACTCTATCGGAGCCTTAAAAAGAACAGTTACTGACCTAAAGATCTATGAATATTCGATTTGTACTGTTTGAAAATAGGTCCGTTCGATGCAAAAAGTTTTTTTTCTATCAGAATATAAAAGAACAACTTAGATATTCAATCGTTTTTCTCTCAATAAATTTTAAATACCACCCCCGATCGAGTCATACAGTTACAAATATTGCTTTTTTTAGTCTTACGAAGTGTGGTTTTTCGAGGTGCACCAGTAAGATTTTCTTATCGGATAGGTAATTAAATGTGCTTTTTCTAATGAAAAAGTTTTCAACTTAAAACTCCATGTAATATAAAGCGTTTTCTCTCCAATACTAGTGTTGGAATCGAATTTCTGTCATTGCTTGGCTGGTGCTTGATAGTTTCAAACAGAATAATTCCTATGCCACTGAATATAAATATCATATTTGTTTTAAGCACAAAATCTGAGCGGATCTAATTATTTCTACAACTTTTGTTTTCGGTTCAGATTTTTACGTCTGGTCCCCTTCAGGATTATATGAAAAAAAACGTTTTTCAACGCAATTATTTGATTGATTATTGATTGATTTATTGTATCTCAAACATCATTGCCAAACTTTGGAAACTTTTAACATTGTCCACATCCCAAGCCAACTAGAACGTTACTAGTACGCGCACAACACGCTTTATGCGCTTGGTACGCGTGTCGCCACATGTACGTGCGTGTACAAGCCGTGTTCATTTGTACGGCACGCGTATGTCTAACAACTCCCCATTAAAGAGGCTAGTAATTCAACAATGGTCGAAAAAGACAAAGACTTGTTTGAATATACTTAACGGTTTTAAGTAAATCATCTATATGTTGTTATGTAATTTTCACATAACTAAATATTTTTATATTTTTTCTAGATTTATTTAATCTTATTTTTCGTAGATTTATTTTATTTTATTTCATTTTAGCTTTTGTACATTTTTCTATATTTATTCGTTTTAGTTTATTTTATTTTATTTTGTACAGTTTTCTTTATTTATTTGCTTTAGTATATTTTATTTTTTATATATTTATTTTATTTTATTTATTATTATTGTTTTGTATTAGTCTTTTTAGTTTTATTTGTTAGCGATTGCTTTTAGCTAGATGTAATGTGTTTAAAGATTTTTAATTCTTTTGTAAAATTTAGTTTTAAATTTAAATAAAATAAAAATTAATATAATAATTCTAAGCAATACGTTTGATGGGATATGAGTGACTAATGAAATTTCAAAATGAGCCAATGAGAAAATTACGAAAATGCATAAATGCACTCTCGTGCGCATGGCGTACGCGTGTCCGACATGCTCGGTGCGCGCATTTCGCGTGACGATCGTACGCGTACGAGGTGTGTTGTACCGTGCGCGTACTAGCAGCGTTCGGGTTGACTTGGGATATCTATAGCTGGAATTTTCTAATGTTTTTTGAATTTTATTTAATGAAAAAAGCAGGGATTACTTTTTCAAAATAGATTTTCTTAGACAGTTTGATGAGCTCTATCAAACGATAGATAAATTATTTAAAACAAAATTTTTTGCTAAAATTTCGAATTTCCTTCACCTTACAAACTCTACATACTTTTTGAGTCTTTTTAATGCATGCTTGCATAACACTTGATGATAAACCATTTAAAACTTCATCGACAGCATTTTCTAGTTCACATTGTGATTTAGGATTTTTATTTGTATTATAAATGTCTATTCTTGTAATATTCATATATACCCAAGAAAACTTCTTCTGATCATTAACTCTGTGTTTTAGATCAAAAAATACGATTTGCATTAATTTTTTACGTGGTAGTAAGATTGTGCTACTTTTGATGGAGTAAAAAATGACAAGGTTCTAAAGACAGATATAGTAATTTATGAAAAATAACACTACACGTGTAGGGGTGAACCATTTATATTAATTTAAAATTAAGTTCAATATCATCAATTAACAATAAATTACAAGTATGAAGTTTTTAGAAGAAAAAACATCGCAGAAGAGCCATTCCGAGACTAGGATCCTATCGGATTCCGACAAGGGTCAGACCGTGAATATGCCAAATATCCATGGACTCCAATAAAACCAACGAAATCCTATAGGATTCCGGGATCAGGACCTACAGTCGAATCCTTGTTGTAGGAATTCAATAGGATCCAGTGTTGAAAATTAACGGAATCCGACATGAACGTATGACCCTAGTGTTCTTATGAGAAAATGTGCATATTCACCCCTAATTGAAAAAAAAAAATTTTTCCGTCAGAACCGACAGTCAATCCGTAACCCGGAATCCCATCAGATCCGATAGGACGTCATAGGATTCATTCACCTGGGAGCTTAAAACTGAAACTGATCCATAAATCTCATTAAGAAAAATATGAGCTTTTTCTCCTTGGCTATTTATGTTATTGCGTCATTTCATTGCACTTAATAGTAACAATTTTGATAAGACGATCACAGTACAGTTTTGTTTATTTTGATAATAAATGTCGTATGACAAATTAAAAAAGAAGCAAGAAGATAATCATGAGACCTAACATTCATTATATACAAACATTCGTGTTTCTTGTGCATTTTGCATTAATTGTGTAGTTTTATGAAGACCAAATCTAATTGGACAATCAATAGTTGAACATTGAGACCATCCATCGATACGATCTGAACATGCAAAACATAATCTTTGTAAATTAGCATGTTGTCGTTCGAATTTATTTGCTTTATTTTCACATATAATCATTATTTCAGATAAATCTTCTTCATGTCGACATTCATTACATAATGGCGCATTTGTTAACTGTGAACATATAAAACATCGCCGCCGAAGATTAGTTCCATCCAATAAAATTTGTCCCGGTTGTTTCTCATTTGAATTCATATCTATTGATAATTTGTCAATCCATTTAAAAACATTAACACCAATCAATGCTAAACATCGATCGAGTGCTGGTAAAATTTGTTTCTTTATATAATACATAGAATTAAGTTTAAATTGTGATTTATATTTAAATACTCTATCTAATGTCCAAACACAATCAATTAAATTTGCATTCAATGATTCAGAATTAAAACCAATAACATACGGTACACGTTCACCTTTATTTGGCTCAGCCAATGGATTTGTTTTTGCACGTTCTAATGCAATACGTAAAGCTGGCACAGGCGCCGCTGGATGATATCTTTCTTTGCCACGGTATTCTTTAGCAAAAATAAAATCAAGTAAATTAAAACGATTGGATAGAATTTTTTCACATTCAGATTGAACATATCGACGTACACGTGTTACATCTTTCGTTTGAAATAATAATTTAAGTGATTGTTGAAGAATTTTCGATACCATGAAACATGTATCGCGACGAATTGTTTCAATACCTTTAGCATCGAATTTACCTTGTTGTTGATCAACAGTTTCATATGACAGGCCAACATAACGCTTTTTAGATGCTAAAACACTTTGCAAATAGATTTTTTCGAATTTAATTTTTATTGGTGATGGGTATAGTTGATTAAGTGCTTTAACAAGTAGATGAGATTGATCAAAAGCTTGTGCACGAGTTGAATGTGGAAATTGAATAAATAATGAATCCTAGAAGAGAAGAAAATGAATATAAGTTGAGTTTGTGTTTTTGTTGAGAAAACAAACATACTGTATCACCATAAACAACACGACCACCAAAATGTGGATTTGTTTTAATAAAATCAATGGCACGTTCGAGAACAGTACGAGCAGTATAAACAATTGTATCACCAATCTATTGTTAAAAAATAAACAATTATAAAAGTTATTTAAATCAAAAAAAGACAGTCATGCTTTAAATTTGAGTCCATAAATATTGATTTCATAACTTCTTGGAATGGGGGAGGGGAACATCAACTTTTTCTCTGTCATGTCATATATTTATGTAAAAGATAAATGCGAACAGATAATCCGACTACAATTTACCTCAACACATGGCATTCGTCCACTAAAACTAGCTGATGTATATCCAAAAGTAACATTAGCAATTAATTTTAAGCATAATTGTCTTGCATCTAATGTTTTATAGAGTGCTGATTTTTTATCAACTAATTTCATTGTATTTTTAACCATAACACGTGTTGCTAATATTTCTTCAAGCATTACCGACAATATTCCTCGACGGATATGTCTTTTAACAAATGCAACACCGTTGGGCGAACAAAAAATATCCTTGTCAGGATTCAAAGTTGATAAAATCCGATCAGGTATTTTTAATGATGTACAACCAAATTTAAATGGACCTTGTTTATCAAGTTGATCAACACGTCCAAGACAGGTCGAATAACAAATATTATATGCCATTACGATTGATGGATATAGCGATTGAAAATCTAATACAGCTATGGGCGTAAAATAAATGTTTGAAATAGGTTCAAGTGTCAATGCAATACATTCAGGTGCACGCATATGTAATCGTTGCTTGTTATCTGGAGTAACAGTAACATAATCTGAGCATTTAGCAAGTCGAATCATCATCGATTCAACACGATATTGAGAACCACGCGAAAGAACCTAAATGTAACAAGAAATTAAATCTTCATTAAATAGTACAACAAAGTTTAACATCGAGTTTAGCTCGTCCATTCAACAAGTTTCCTATAGCTGATACAGCATCTATGATTGTCTTTTTATTTTGTTCCCCGATCTACAGAAAGTTACTCAAGGACGATCTCTATCAAAGAGCGTATAAATTCCTGAAGGTACTCTGAATAAGTTCAAATTTTCTCTTGAATGAATGTTGCAAACGAATTCTTACATGATAAAATTCAATTCCATATATTCGTGCAAATTCTGATGTTTTATTAATTAAATCCAATTCATGCATTAATCGAAAATTACCCACTGAATGCATCCAACCATAATCTAATAGACTCACAAAATCTCTTAAACCAAATGATGGATTAAATCCTAAAAATAATTCATCTTTAAATCAAAAGCGTTTTTCAAAGTAAAAGTAACCTTCATCAATGAGCCATTTTGAAATTAGACTTATATCATAATGTGGTACACGTTCATGTAATACATGGTACATTGCATTTTCAAATGTATATATATTTAATGTTATTTCACTTCTCAGTATTCGCCATAAATCAAGTACTACTCTTCCAATTATAACTGGTAAATCATCTCCATTAGCAGTCATATGACTTCGACTACGTGTAGTATTATCTTGTGGTTCTGGGATACGACTTAATTTCATTAATAGATCTAACTTATATTTTAATTTTGCTCGTTTTATTAAATAATATAAAGATAATTTCATATCGTAACAAACAATCATATCTGGATCAGATTGTTGCATTATTTCACAAAATCGTTCGATTAATTCTAATTCATTTTTAACAGATTCAATTGTTTTATTTTCTAATGAACGAAAAGATTTCGTCAGAATGTTTGAATTTTTAATACGTAAAAGACTATTGGAGATAAGAACATATGATTGAATTTTCCATCCATTCGTTGTCTCATAAGCTTTTGTACAAAATAATGAACATATTTCATCTGTATCCAGTGCAAATGCATATGTTTCATTTGTATGACAAAATATTTCAAACGAAACTATTGTTAAATACTGACACTCATGAATTATATCAGTTTGTTTAACTTTATCCGCACAATTATCATTTCTATTCATACAAAATGATTCTTTATGAAGAAGGTTCGTACGAGATTTTTTTGATATATTTTCTTTCTTTAATGATCTATTATTATTGTTCAAAAAATAAATATTAGCAAAATAATAGTTGAATTTTATGGATGTATTTACTTCGACATTGGTATTCTGTATTGCTCAGAATGAGGTGGCGGTTGTAATGGTTGATACCATTGAGCACTTTCACAAATGAATTAAATTTATTTATAAGAAAAAATAAAAAAATTACCCTTGACCAGGATTGATATCAATTATTGCTTCATTAGTATGTTGATGATGCTTGGAAATAAATTCCGGAATGTTTGAAAACTATGATAGTATAATACCAATGTACTATGTGAGTGAATGATTCGAAAGAAAAATTTACTAATTTAACAAATGATGTTTCATCTTCAATATCTTGACAAATAATTTGTGTAGAAATTTTCCGATGCAATAGATTTGTCGTTCGTTTACGTACGGGTGGTCGATTTGTTGTTTCTAGCCAACAATATTTTGATGATATTGGCACGTTTTTATTTGTTGACGCCTCAAAAAATTCTTGTAAATATTTTTTCATCTCATCTCGCTCTTGTTCACTTGTTTGAGATGATGGTTCACTATTTGTTATTGTCAATGTTGGTGATAATACGCTTAATGTATCAGATTCTATATCTAATAATAAAAATAAAGATTCAACCTGCTTTTAGATCCTCTTAGAAATATACCTGATGTAAGTATTGAAGTATTAACAACAGTTTTTTCTCTATAATTCATTAATAAGAAATAAAATTTAAAAAAAACGAAAGATGAAATTCCTACACATCATTATCTAACAATTCTTCATCATCTAATTGTTTGACATCAGCTACAAATAAAATATAAAACATGATGATTTATTATAAAATTAAAATAAAAAATATACACCAGCTAAAATACTATCATTTTCAATTCCTTGTGAATCACTTATTTCATCATTGACCATCATTTGTACGAGAACTTCATCGTCGATTTCTTGACCTACGACGATTAAATAAACTTCATAAAATGGTTTAATTAAAACCAATCATACTCATTGAATTGACTCGTTCAATTCGTGCTAAATCTATTGTTGTATCATCAAGATTAACTGGAGGGCTCGATTCGAGTACTTCATCAGTAGGTGGAGGCCTATGAAAGAATGAAATTCTATCGTGAGCGTGTATTTCTTTTTTGTATTTACCGTTTTTGAATATTAGCTTTTAATTTTTCTTGATGACGAGTCTCAGCAACAAATGGATTTGCATGAGGACGTTCTTTAAAAAAATGAACTCAATATTTTACTAGTTAATCACTTCATTTAGATCGTTATACCAGGTGATGTTGGTGGTGTTAAACGGTCAATAATCTTTAAATGTTCTCGTCTAGTTCGTTCACCATTCCACAGAGCTTGTAAACCTGGATTAGCAATACCTTTGCCTATGGAGAGAGAGAAAGAAAGAATAACAAGTAGATTGATTACTAGTTAAATTTAATGAAACTGGCCTAATTGAGGTAGATTATTACAAATATCATCGATATGTACATCATATTCAAGTTTACAAGATGATACTCGTTGTATAGATGATATACTATTGTATTGCAAAACCCTATGATTTATTCTTCCTTAATTAAGAAAGAAATATTTACTTTGTGGTTTGATTCGTTGCTGCTGAGAGATTCGCTAAATTAGAATAAATAAAATGAAAGAAGTAATTCTTTCTGTAGTTTTTACTAGTCATATTTGATAATTGCCGTTCAGCAGCATTATTGAATAGTATAAAGTTCATACCGTATAAATTATAATCAATAAAAAACTAAGAAAGAAAACACATTATTTTTGTTTCTAGTAATAAAAAAAGATATTCCCATACTTGCAGATTGAATGGAACATGAGCTTCATGGGGTTGAAATTCTTGATTCATTACAGCACCAGCTAAGAGAAGATCAGATGCTCTGAACGTGGAAAAAAAGACAATTCTTGAAATTCATTATATGAGATTACGTGATAAGCTCCGAAAAACATTGACGATCGATCACGACAACTCGAATTTTTCAAAATCTACTATTTAATTTTTTCCTCAATGAATTGAACGATATGGGCGCGTTACACTCCATTGCTTCGCCACTCTGTTCATAAGATAATTTAACTATTCTTCCGAATTCTTTATCCAGTTCTAAACGTTTTTCTATCAATTCGAAGTCTTACTTTCGAATAATCGCAGGATTATAAAATTCAATTTTCCAAAACTTAACCATTTTGTCATGATAGCCATAGATAGGTCTAAATAAAATCCGATCGAATTTCTCGATTTCATCAAATGGCAAAGAAAAAACAAGCTATGTATACAATAACTCAACCAATTTTATGTCATGAACATGTTTTGTTTCAATATTTCCTTTTTCAAACGATAAATTAATTGCCATATCTAAACTTTGCGCCAATTGTTCACCGTAACGTATTTCATCCGTGGGTGATTTCACAAGTAAATAAGGAAAGACTCCATGCACATGAAGGCAAACTTTCTTTCCTGAAAAACAAGATTCACAAGAAATTTCTTTCGATTTTTTTTGAATATTTTTTTTATTTTTAATCATGTACCCGCTTCATTCGGTCCGAATATGCGAATGATTGGTACTTGTTTTATCGGATGTCGCAGTTTAGAATATACAGGATCGAATTGTGAATTAACCGATGTTAGATAATGATCTGTGAGAACAATCCGTACTGATATCATTCTTTAATCTATTTAATTACTTATAGAAATTAAAAAGAAAAAAAAGAGAAAATTTGTTTGTTTTTATGTTTTTTTCCAATTGTTGTTTATTTTCTTGTGCATTTTTCAATTAAAACATCATCAACGAAACAAAACTTTATAAAAACAACGAAAACAGAGTTTATGAGATATTAATTCTGTAGCGCCGTTGGATTAATCTGGTTGTGTTTCACTTTGGATGTATTGATTGTTTATTTCGATCTTTCGCGCATACCTAAATTTAGAATTAAAAAAAAACATTTTTTTTTGGTGATTTATCGAACTTACGCCGTCTTTTACGTTTCAATCTACGCATACGTTTCTTACGCCACTTAGCTCGCATGTTTAATTATTTTAAAATGCGAGATCTACAATAAAATAAAAAAGTGTAAATAAATCAATCTGTATAGCGCCTCGATGAAAATGTTCGAATGACTATGAATAAATACGAGCGAGCGAGTTACTCGGTTAAACATTTCAATTGGTGTCGACCGATGATCATTTAACCTCCGTGTAATTTCGAACACACCTATGCACTTCATAAATGTAGTATTTATTTTAAATTATTTTAATCTATTTTATGGAAAGTTTTAATTAAAAAACTGTAAAAAATCAATAGAAATTAGCCAAATGTATAAAATCTTCATTTTTTCGTTCTTTGTTTCGCGGCTGACTATATCGCTCATTGAAATATCGTCAGACTTGCTTCTTTGTCTTGACGTGATTTTTTCGTATTTATCAGTGTTCATCGTCTTTTTCTAGATCGTTTCGTTCCCTTTTTCTTCTTTTAACTCAAGCCACAACTATGCGTTCATCAATTAAACGTCCATCAATTATAATACCACGTCCAACAAAAGCTTCATTAGCTCGTCAATCCAAAATTCGTAATTCTATTCTTGGTGCATCAGCAACTACTAATACAACAAATACATTGAAACCGATACAAAATGAAGATATTAAAAGTGAAAATGATTTATCAACCATCGGCGTACTTAAACAACAAGTACGACGTGCAAGTGCAATCACAAAAAATGTTGCTGTTTTTAAACGACGACGTTCACTACATAAATTAGCTGTTATTGTCTCGGGTTCGTCATTAGATAACTCCACTGGTGATGGTGAAACATTAAAACAAGTTGTAAGTTAAAGAATTGTGGTCTTTTTCTTGTTTTTTTACTTATCTATTGATTGTCTCTATTCCAAAAGATTGTTGCTTCATTAACTGAAAATGTCAAAAAAATGGATCTTGTTGAACAACCTAAAACAAAATATTCCATGAATAGTGATAATAAAGAAAATCGTGCATCAAAGCGTCCAACCACACTGCCAGCAAATGTATTGCGTAAAAAACCAATACCAATACCTATACAATTACTTGATAAATATGCTGCTGAAGAGATAACAATCGATATAATCGAACAGGCTTTAACTAGCGATGATTTACATATAGATGAAGATGATGAACCGATTGATCCAACATATGCTATGGATTATGTTGCTGATATCATGAATTTATTGTATGCATTAGAAAAACGATATCCTATACAATCAACATTTTTAACCAGTGCATCAACAACAACATTATTTCCGTTGACAACGATGGCTACAATGGCAAATGGTAGTGCTTCGCGACCATGGAAACTTACAACAAAACATCGAACTACTGTTGTCGGATGGATTATACAATTATTTTATGCGCGATTTCATTTATCTCAAGATGCCATGCATATGTAAGAAGGCATATCTTGTTGTAAACGGTTGCATTTCAGTCTAGTACTTGAATTTTCTTTAAAGAATCGCTTTGAAAGTATCATTTCTCTAGTGTATATATAGAGTTAGATAGAACTACTGATTTCGTATTCAAATCTTTTCATGACAATGATTAACATAAGTTGTTTTTGTCCGTCATTTAGTTGTATTGGCTTACTTGATCGTTTTCTTCAACAGTGTATTAATTCAACAACAGCTGGCGCTGGATTTGTTACACAAAAAAATCTACAATTAATTGCCGTAGCGTCATTTCTGATTGCCGCTAAAGTTGAAGTAAGTAAAATTATCATTGAAAAGGTTTTCCTTCGTAAACAATCAGATAAAATTTGAGTATCGAATTATTTGAAAAAATGACCAAAACTAATCTAGATTGTCATTGTTTATAACATCTACTTTTGAAAGCGATATATCAATTCTCGTTAGACATAAACTGTTTTTCATCTAGGAAACTCATCATCCACCTGTTGATGAACTTGTCTATGTTACTGATCATACATATACAAGTGATCAAGTAAAAAAAATGGAAAAGAAAATTCTGCATGAATTACGCTTTGAACTTAATCGACCTACAAGGTAAAATTTTCTATTCTGCATTAAAATCAAAATAACATGCTTTGTCATTTCGAAAAAAAAACATTTTAGCCTTCAATTTCTTCGTCGTTTTTCATTCGTATCAAGTGCCGGTGATGAACAACATGCTATTGGTAAATTTCTTATCGATATGTCATTACTGAATGTATCCTGTGTTGGTTTGGCTCCGTCACTTGTTGCAGCAAGTGCAACATATATAGCACGCTATATTCTCAATCCAAATCAACCATTAACATTTGACCAATGTTGGCCACAAGAATTACAAAGTCGTTCTCCATATAAAACATATGAATCAATGTCAAATGGCGTCAAAATTTTAGCACAATTTATTGACAAATGTTTAGCAGGAACAAATTCAAAAGAATGTGAAATTCTTACCAAACGTTATGAACATGAACAATTATCACAAGCAAGTTTATTTTGTATGCAACAGCGAACACTTATCCACAAATTAGCCACTGAATGAGTTTATTGTCAAATATCTTTCTTTTTCTCGATCTATATGTATCTTCTTTTTGTTGTTGTTGTACTTGTTATTGTTCTGTTTATTGTTCAATCAGCACTGTGCTTTCGGAAATGATGATACATGTTTGTTATTTATATATATATTTTTTTTTCTTTCTGTGGAATCGAATGAAACCTATTCTATCTGGTTTCTTTCCTTTTGTTATTGTTATTGTTGTATTAGCGTGTTGATCTCTAGATATCTACATCTTTTCTTATTTTTTGAATTGTGTATAAGATCATCATATTATCAACTTGATTCTCTTTTTTTTCTCTCTCACTTCTTCATATTTGACTCGTGTAATGTTCTTCTTTCCTTTTCTTTCTCTTACAATGGAATAGAAAAAATAAATTGAATTCAAAGAAATAAATAAATAAATATATATATATATATGTAACATCGAATGAATATTGATTACTTAATTATAATTACTATCTGAAGAAAAGTTAAAAATAGTTTGTCTAATTACTTATGAGAATTTGAAGGAAGAAGAAAAAGATGCTGACGTGAGACAGGTAATATTCTTCTTATTATGATATATGTTATACATTAAAAGAAAAAAGCGAGATCAAATCCAATTTACATGGAAAATTTATTGATGCTAAATATTATACATTGAAATATGTTTGTTAGTCAATTCCCCTTAGTGGCCCGTTGTAAAGCTTAGAGATTTGTGCGGAACTTACAAGGAAGCCATTTGAGATTTCTTCAAAACACATGATAAGAATTTACGATTATTGTAGGCATTCGTATGCGATGTCATCTATCATTATATTCACGTATGCCTATTCTGTATGAAAACAAGGGCAATTTGATCTTTTCTTTCTTGTTCCCCGTATATAAGAAAAAGTAATTTGACAGATTAGAAATTATGTTTATTGTTGTTGTTGTTAAGATTGATTGAAATGACAACAATTGAATTGATTCTTTTCTTTTTCTACAATAACAGTTACTATTGAAGTTTTTGTCAAAATTAGTAATAAATACAATTGATTTCTATAAGTTAATATTTATTGATAAAGTTTGTTTGTTAAGATTAATCGAGAAAAAAACAATACAATCGATTGTTGTTAATTAATATTCATGTAGCGTTGCAGTTTAGTTCAAAATATACAAATCATGAATTTTTCTATACATTCTCAAGAGATTCTATGAGCACTTCATAACGAACTTTTGCTCGTTGAAGAGCTCACTTGGATTTTTTTTTTGAGAACTCATAAAAAATTTTGCATTTTAAATAAGAAAGTCCAAAGTTATTCTATTATAAATTGTATTCAAAAATGAACAACAAAGGTATGTTTAAAGATACTATAATTTTTCATTCAATCGGAGTTTATCTGCTGTATTATTGGATAGTTTCAATCATAGGATCGCTTAAAATTCTTCATAGAAACAGATCAGGTGTCGATTAATAGCAGTTATGTTACGATAGATACAAGTAGAAATTTCCATATGTGATTTGGTCTTTATTAAAGCGATAAAATAATCTCAACAATATATGCGAAAAAAGTCTTCATAGCTGATATGAAAGATATTTTTCTACAATTATCGATATCTGATATTTTCTATTGGCAATAGTGAGAGAAGCTATTTTTCTATTACATAACCAGGAAGGACACAGGATACAAAAAAAAATGAGAATCGAATTTAGTGATTAAAAAACAAAATGCATAGCTTATTTATGATGAAATATGTTTGTTAATAAAATCGATTTATGAATCGATGTTGACAATAGAGAAATCAAGAAGCTAATAAATCAAAATGTTACTATTAAAACAAATATAGAACATTTTATTTTCTCTATGAATTGATTGCATTAAAAGCTCTTCAAGAGATTCTCTACTCCACAATATCTATTTTGTTGACGTATGTCGATTTAAATACAAATTACACTCCATTTTAACGAAATTAATTACTAACAACGAATTGAGTAGCTTTGAATATTATGGTAAGCTTTGTGATCGTGCATGTTTAAGTTTCTTATATTGGAGTCAATCCCAAGTAAATATAACAATGTTGAATGAAGTCTATTTGCTATAATTCATAGTCAATGCACATTACTGGCCGGATCTATTCATTGATTCGATAGAAGCAGAAGAAAAAGAAGAAGAAGAAGAAGAAAATGATCTCCGTCGAATGATGAAACCGTTATATGTGTTCTCATTGTTAATTTTAGTTATGTGTGCATTTAAATTAACTTCTTAGCATTTTCCTTGTGTTTTATTCAAAGAAATATAAGATGATCTAATAGATCCGATACATAGTTGAATAACTGTTATTCTAATAAGACATGAATGGATCACTGCTCTTGATGGAAGAGGTTAATATAATGTTCATTCATAGTTACTTAGATTATACGGAAGAATTTATGTGTGTGTGTGTGTGTGTGTGTGTGCGTATTTGTGTTCAGCTAATTAATAGCAAAAATGTGTCCTTATATAAACACAGACAATAGGAAAAAAGACAGAATGCGAATGAGTTAGTGCCAATGTATATTCATATGTGTGTCTAATCCGAGTTTTATTGATTTGATGAGCGAGAAAAAAAATAGAAGAGCCTATCGCCATCCATTGGACAAATAGTCAACGATGATGGAAAAAGCGACATTGGCAACGGAAGTTGTTGCGTTGATACGATCAGTGTTGTAGTATAGTTAGGAATAGTGCTGCACGATCTTCGGTGCATACTTATCCGATAATTGAAATCACTGTAGCACTAAATGCTCATCCTGTTTCGCTTGTGCCTTAATTGCTTAAGGGCACTAACTGACTAATAGTAATATGACAACCATCGATTTCTCTCCTGTCTTGATGAACATGAAGCCTTATACAAGCAAACAATCAATCAATACTATTACACATTTCTATTTAGATATATAAATAGATATTTTTTATTGAATATAATTATAGTAATTTATAGATTTATATATAACAACGACATTGATCGAAGAAAAGAAAAACCAAGTCAATATAGAAGTATGTATGTGTGTATGCATGTTTTTTTTCCTGAAAAATCGATTAGTTGCGCTTGGACAAAAGAGATCATAGAAAATTGTTAACAGAGAACAAATAACAAACGAAAAAATAGATCATCGATGGTAATAATCTCTCTTGTTCTCAGTCACCATTAGACAGTTTATCGATTTTGTACGGCTGTTACTGTGATAATAGGACATGCTTCTATCACATTCAACCGCAGATTAATCCACACTTGCCAAAACTTTTCTCTATACAAAAAAAAGAAAAGAGAACAAGGAAAAAACGACCCGCTTGAGAAATCAAGATATTGTTAGTTCACCGTCTTCTGTTTCGGTAAGGACTTCTGCTTAAAAAGAAATGATTAAATTATGTATGGGCACATAAGTCTTCTTTTCTGTTTAGCAAAATTTTCTTCATTCTTTTTTCTTCTTCCCCTTTTCTTTGCCGATTTAAGGCGGAAAACACGGGTTACAAACAGTAATCACATACTCACATACAATCTCTCTCAAGAGATTATATTTCGATGACATCTATAGCTAGACAATAACTATACAATATTCTTGTTTACAATAGACCACAAAGGCGTGACCGGTCTATTTTAGCGATAATTTAAGTCGACAGCTGTATGATGCAATGGTAACATGAAGACAAATAAAAAGAAAAGAAAAGAAAAGAAAGACTACAAATTGAATGGAGTAAAATTTGATTACTCAACTGTAGGTTAATTTTTTAGTTATGTTGTGTGCTTTTCAAGTTTTATTCTTTCTTTTTATTCTTTTTTCTTTTTCCTATTTCTATTTGTTTGTCGTATCCGGTAGTGCATGTTAACAGTTTCGAGGAACAATACTTAAACGAGCTTATTTTCTTATGAGATCGTCTTTTTTGTTTGAAAGTGTGCTCTGCAATTCCGATCAGACAGGCGATGTGCTCTTTTATGGTATGTATACCGTGATAGATTATCACCGTTGTGTCATTACGTCAAGGTTCCGGAAATAACTGTGTGCTTATTGCAAAATGAGTTCTCTCCACCACGTCGCGCAAACAAACCAGCAGGTTTAATCCCAACTAGGATGGTGATTAGTAATTATTAGCAGGAGGCTGCACACATGCCTAGCTACGTCTCATTCATTACAAATAGCATACAGCGTGTTCCTTATTACCTTCACATTGACAAAAACCGAACAACTGTGAATAACTCCAAGGACTGTATCTAAAGATTTCATGTATAATTAGACGACACTACTGTCATAATCGTAGTACTTCTCTGCTCATATCAAGATTCTTTTACACGTGCATATACACGTATACATTCATTCATTCATTCTACTCATGCACGCATGCTATCTATTGAATAATACGATTTTTATTGTGTTGGTTCTATAGTCATCTTGTCTGAGCTGATGTCATCAGCTTGTTGCCGTTCCCAAATGTTGATTGAATAAGTGTTGTTACAACCTTGTTCTTTCTCACATTGGTTTTTTTTCTTGCCTATTGAAAAAAAGAAGCAAGCTAAAGAAGAAGAAGAAAAAAAGAAAGGAAAGACGATAATCAAAATCGCAAACCACTTCTCCGCCTGGTGACCCTTTTAACAAGGAACGAGAAAAGAATGGACGTGAACATGTAAGGCAAAAAAAACGACAATAATAATAATAATAACAACAGTAGAAAACGAGGAAAGCGGGAAGAGCAAGAAAGTCAGAAAAATAGATTGGAATTTTTTTTCCACATCTTTCCATGTGTACAAGGAAAATAAAGGAAATCAGCCGCTCATCTGTTTATAGTATATGTGTATGAACACAAAAATGTGCATTCCGGGAATAGAAAGAAGAGTAACTAATTAGTTCCTATTTTTCCTCTTCATTTTCTTATAATATTGTATTACAATGGCATTATTCAAAGACAAGTGATTTATATTGAACAGCGTGTTTCGTTCAGACGACGACGACGACGACGGCGTCTATCAGTTTGACAAGGTCAGTCTTCTAGTCAGTACCACGGATTGGTCAGCAGCAGCATTCAATTTACTCAATAAATAAATCATCATCATCTTCATTCATGCCGACATCATTCATATAAACTATCGGTTTTTCTTCTTCTTCTTCTTCTTCTTCTTCTTGTTTCAATGAGGAGAAGAAGAAGAAAATAAGAGATGAAATATCTGCCAACCCCTTTAAGCGTTTATCACTTAGATGTCTTTCATAGTACGATTTGTAATTGTTTAACGATTTGTCGATTGATACAAACGTTATTTATTCGTTCATTTTTATCTATCTGTATATGTTTGAGAACAAAGACAGCAGTTATACAGTCAAAAGACAATAGATAAGCAATGAATAGTTCGTTAAGAAAGAAAATGATCATTGACAATACGTGCTCGACTTTCACCGATTCCACACATTCTTAAACATATCGACTATCATCAACAATAGAGACATAAGTAGCATCATTTGAGATATAAATCATTCGAATAAAGATAAATAAACGATTTTTAGAGATAGAATCAAACAAAAAAGAAACGTATTGTACAATAAATAAAATAAAAACTCTTCACTAAATATGTCTTAGGAGACTCTTGTTCATTATCGTTTCCTTCGTTTCTTTGCTCTTTTGTTAAAATTAATGATAAATATATTAGTGATCATTTCAAAGATGGAAAATGCAATGATTATGATACGGAACTAGTTTGTCAGTGACCGCGCATAGGGGAGCAAAAAATGATTCATTTCATTTCCTTCCTTCTTTTTGTTGATTCTAAGAGGCAGAGAAAATGAAGAAGAATAAGAAGAAGAAAAAAGTTTGTCAGCTAGATGGATAGAGCTAATCGAATCTATATCAAAGACTACTCCCTCTTCTTGTTCTCTCTTTCCCTCTTTTCAATCGTACTACCCGATAGGCGAATGTGCAAGGCCCGATATGATGGCATTTCCTGTATCGGTTGTCGTTGTGTACAGTAAAATTACATCATTCAAATTATTATTGCTCTTTTTTTTCTTCTTTTTTCTTCAATAGACAGTAATAGAAAAACGATTTATAGATGATTTGAATTAAAAACTAGAGAGAAGAAAATAGCAATCATTTGATTGAATTGATTGGCTATGATCGTAGTTTGGTTCATTTACCAATTCTGGATGTTCATTCAAGGTAAATAAAAACTTGAACGATTGTTTTTGCTGTTTTTTTAAAGCATGTTTCTCCTCATAAAAAAAAAACTCAGGAACTACATTTGCACTATCATTTATTCGTGACTTACATAATTTAACTGTTATTTATAAACCAAATGCATTTATTTATCATGTTTGTCAAACATCACATCATATAAATTTTAAACGTATACGTTGGCATTATGAAGCATTGTATGATTCAAGCAACGACACCGATACATACTGTAAACGTCTATTTAATAATTCCGATTGTTTCGATTTCTATTATGGTACATCGACAAGCGTGCTCGTTATTAAAGAGCCTGATATGTATATTGGAAAATATTCATGTCATGTAAATATAAATTCAACATATGAGCTAACATCGTCAGGTTATATTGATGTTAAATTACCAACAAATGATATCGATGATAATGACGAATCGATGGGTTTGTACAATGAAAAAGAATTAGGTAAATTAGCAATAAAACATAATGTACCATTTATTCTCGATGAAAATGATGTAACATCATTTGGTAAACGAATACAAATAGGTGGCTCGTTTTTTACGAAATGTCAATCTGTACAAAGTTCATATCCAATTCATTTTCTATGGATACATTTAAAAAACATATCAGATACAGAACAATCCGAAAAAATAAAAACAATTCGTTTTATTGACATTAATGATACTCGAATAAAAGTAGAAGAAACAAAATATTCAAGTACGTAAACTATTTTCTTTTTGAACTTTGACAATTAATTATTTTGAACAGATAATGATTTTTCTTGTAATTTACACCGAATATATGTCGAGTTCAAATGTATAGCAGATGACAAATTTCTTTTACTATCATCTATCATGTAGATATTAATGAAAAAGAAATGAGGACAAAAATAATTGGCCTGCTGTTTTCTGTGGTATATTGTTAGAGAAAATGATCAAGAAGCTGAATTATGTCTTAACATGCATAATAAATAATAATTTATCTATTTTGAAATAAAACAGAAGCAAAATTCTTCGCTGACTTCATAGCCTTGATAAAAAGTCATCATTCGACAATAGGGTTCAGTCATAATTTGACTCCGAGTTAATTAGATTAACTTCGAAAAAAAGATATATCAAAAGAGAGTAAATACTCATAAGTAAGATTAATTTAACTATAGGTAAAACGAGGAATCATATTCTTAGTATTTTAATTACAATCAAAGACGGGATCTTTTCTTGCTTATAGTGACATGTCTCTTTCATTCAAAATCAGACACTTATTGTTTTTTTCTTTTTGACACCTTAGGTTCTTTGTTCATCCATCCAGTTGAACTCGTAGATGATGGTGATTATATTTGTATAGCATCAAATACTCTTGGTCGATCATTTTCTAGTAGACGTTCATTGATTGTTACAGGTAATTAAATACACTGGGGAAGAAAAAAAAGGATGATGATGATGATGATGCTTGTTCTTTGTTTTCTTCTGTTTTTTTTTTGTGGCATGTGAATATATTTCGATAGTCTTTAGAACGCATGATACTTCCTCGTATACGCGATAATCTTCTTAATCATAGTCGCATTGATCTTCAACATGATGGAATAAGAGAACTTATCTGTGTGGCTGATGGCTATCCAGAACCTGAAGTTAATTGGATTCGAGGTTTCCTATTTTGTTCTTTAGGTTAAATACTTTGACTTATAAAATATTTTTTCTCTATGTCAGCATCAGATTCGAGTCTTCTTGCACGTAATTCTGCGCGTGTTCTACTTAAATTTGATAATGAAATGCATGGTGTGAATAAATATATTTGTGAAGCAAAAAATAAGCATGGTTTAACTAAAATTTTTATTACTGTTATTATACCAGGTGTGTATTAGGAGGAAAAAAATAGGATATTTTAATTGAAAGGCATTTTTTTAAATTTATTCGTCAATAGATAATCAAACAAAGCCATTATTAAGCTATAGTGATATTCAAAGTCATAGTGTTTTACTCAAATGGCGTGTGTCAAATGGACGTTATGATCGTTTCAATCATTTTATCATATATTATAGACGCTTACATCATTCTGATGATAGTGATAAAGAAGAAATAAATGATACTATCAAGGTAGAAGATTATAAACAAGTCCTTATTGATCCACGTACAACACGTTATAGTTTTACATTTCGAGTAAACGATATCGCTAAGAAAGAGAACTTTCTGTTTTAAAATGTTTCTTTTGTTTTTCTCTAAATTTAGGTAATGGATTTGATTCCATATACAAAATATGAATTTCGACTTAAAGGTTTTATTGGTGCTACACCATCAGCTTATTCAAATTCTATTATTATTAAAACACTTGAAACAATACCAGATAAAATTGATAATCTTCATGGTTATGTTTGGAATGAAACTTCGATAGTTGTTCATTGGACACCGCCAAATTCTACTAATGGACCTAATTTTGTAAGAAAATAAAAGCTTTATTGAGTTATTGCAATTATAATTCTACAAACATTGAAATTGTAGTTTTATCGGAATTAGAAATAGTTTAAATAATTAGAAATAATTGCTGATTTCTTATTATACATAAAATTTTAATAGTTACTATTTAGATTTTTCAGTACATTATGACATTTAAACTACAAACAAAAACATGTTGTTTGAGGATTGAGAACAGCGTGATCATGTTTATGTCGCCAATTTTCTAGGGAATTCATTAGATTTGTTGTTATAGAGGTAGTGATCAGAACAAAAGAAAACATTGTTTTTTGGAGACATGTTTTTCTATGCTCGACTGCATGTTTTAGGGAATTAATTTAACATGTTATTTTATTTGAAAGAATCTATTGTGATATTTACTAGATTAATTGAAATTAGAAGTAGTGAACACAATCTGTAATAGAACACCTTGGGCTCTTCTATTTTGATCAATTTATTTTTAAAGCATGATTTTTATAAAAAAAAAAGGACGGGTATAATTTTATGTAAATATTCTGATTAAAATTTCAATTGTTGAGAAGTCCGCTGATTAGAAGAAAAGTGGAGGGTTTCCACGACATCCGGCACATTAATTCGACAAGGGGTGCCTCTTTTCCAGAGAGAGACGGAGAAGGTCACTACGCTTGTTATATCATTGTTTCATTCATAAAATAGTAGTTGGAATCTTATGCTATCAATTGTCTTACATTGAAAACAGAAAACCATTACTCACTTCAGTGTCTCAATAGATAAAAGTATTTAAGCAGTGAAGTATGTTTTGACTAATTGTCTTAGAAAACGAAAGAAAGGATTTATTAAAAGTTTTCAAGAGCCAATTAAACATGTGAATGATTGAAAGAATTCTTAACTAAGATTGACAATTTTCTTTTGGGAATTAAGAGGGAAGTTAAAAAGAAAAAGCTAAAAGCTAGCACTCCACAAGGGCAAAATGAAAATTTTTCTTCACATCAAAATTCTCACGGGATTCATTTATTTGAATTAGGATAAATGTTTTGATATTTCAATGTGTTGATAGATCGACTTATCTATTATTTCGTTCCCAGTATATAGACATCATTAAGTGAATCAATTATCATGTCTAATCATTGTGAATAAATAAATAACATATTTGATGAATTGTTTTATAGCATCTATTTATTTACTATTTTAGTATTACATTCTCTATTATACAACAAATACATCAGTACCATTCGATCAATGGTCACAAAAAATTGTTCGAACATATCCATTTTATGTATTAGAATTTATGATGTCAAAATTAAATCTTCTTTTTGTCCGTGTTGCCAGCATTAATGCGAAAGGTTCAATATTAAGTGATTTTCACATAATTAATCGTAGCTTAACGAATCATCATTTAATATCAACCATAGATAAATTTCAATGTTCACCAAATGATATAAATCAGTTATTTTCTATTCAATGGACTATTGATTATGAATCACGTTTTTATATAAATAAATATATCTTATATTATATGGATGTAACAGAAAATAATGATGATTTAATACGGCAATTAATAATTCCGATTAGCTTTTTATCAATACATAAACACGAATCTTATGATCTATATAAATATGAATTTAATAGTTCATTGTTTAATTTAAATTATAATTCTTATCATATATTAAGATTAAACTTGGCTGTTATTGATCAAAATCAAAATCATTTATCGATGACGCAACCAGCTATTTATTGTACTGTAACAAGAAAACATGGTAGGATATGCAAATTTTTTTCTGATTCTCAAGTACATGCATATATGTATATATATATATATATTCAAATCGATTGATTCTATAATGGAAATTATATGTCAAGGCTAAACATTTTTTTTCTCCCTATCTCTTATGATTTTCTCATATGAGTGTAGTTCGATGTGTGTCTGATCGGTTTAGCTGTTAGATTCTTTTTATTTATATGATTGTTTGATTATTAATGAAGAGATAATAATTATATTGTATGTAAGCGTCAATGTTTTTTGATGAACCGACAAATGATGTAAAGCGAGCGTATGAACAAAAAGAAATCTACTCGAAATATTGTAAAAGTTAGTAATTAAAGACAAGAAGCGAAGAAATGATAATGACCGGGAAAAAAAACTAGGAAAGAGAACAAAAGTGGAAACAATCAAGTTGATGGATGTCAACGTTAACCAAAGATAAGTGACACGTTTGTTTTCACTTTCACTTGTTCTAAATGCGGTTTGGTTTTTCTTCTTTTTTTGGTTTTACTATTCACAGTATGCGTGCTGTACAGCTTTATAAAAAGCAGGTGCTCAACGACTAATGAGCATCTGCATACTCAGCATGCCATTATCAAAAAAGAGAAGACATTTTCATATTGTGTGAAACAAATATATGGAATACTAAACTAAATTTATCTAGTAAAAAAATGGGAGCTAATTTCATGTAAAATGTGTTACATGCAACTGATTTTCTTGTTTAAAGAAACTTCATTATTAAAAGGCTGCAGCGTTAACAAATCAATGGATTAGTAGGTCTATGTGCGAAAACAAGTGTTTTATTAATTGTATGTATTGAAAGATATAAGTTTAAATCATGTTTGACTAATTAGACCGACTATCGCTCAATATAACAATCTTCTTATTCCTTTTTTCTTCTTTTTTCTCCGTTCTCTCATTTTTTTTTCGTCATTCGACCTATGTAGGATCAACAGTATGTATCGAGGACAACGCAATTAAGTTAAAGCAATATTTCTCTCTCTCTCTCTCTCTCCTCGGACCGCATAGACGATGATGATCGAGGTTGTGCGTCTTCTATTCTACTTCCTTCCCTTTGCTTATTTTTTATATGTCAGAAAAACAGATTGATTGCAAAAAATCATCATTTTTTCCTATTTGCTTTTAACACCCTTGTCCATTTATTAGTAAACGATTATTTCTAATCCATGATATTGTCTAGATAATCTTTTCTTTTCTTGTCTTTTTTTTTTCTCGATTAATAAAATGTTCTCTTTAATTATTTTGTATCCAATATTAATTTTAATAACAAATAATTTCGCTCAAGTCCCAAATAATGTTCGCGTATTAGCCACTGATAAAGATTTTATACGTTTATCATGGACAAAACCCACACGTTTATCTTCACCAATCTATGGTTATACAATAAAATATCGCGCAGTAAATTCAAATCAACCATGGATGGTAAAACAAACAAATCGAACGGAGATATTTTTAAGTGAACTTCGCCCGATAACAAAATATGAAATTATTTTACAAGCCTATTTAAATTCATCATACACAGATTCATCCGGCCCATTAACACGTATTGAAGTAACAACAGATGAAACAGGTAACTTCCTGTTTAAATAAAATAATGCTTGACTGACTGGTAATGGTGAAGTCTAGACAGATATACACAAAAAACGAAGAAAAAGAAGCACTTTTATGTGATAGACTTAATGAAATCATATAAAGTAACGACTGTCTTATGTTTAAGAAAGCTTTGATCGGTAATGAATTTTCAATTGAGCACACTTGAAGATTTTCGTTAGTTTTATTTATCCTTTTGTTTTCATAAAGATCAATACTTGAGAAGACAATATTCAGATTACATTTGTTATTCAATAATTTATAGAAGAAAATTGATTAGAAAACAAAAAATGTCAAGAAATATGGAAATTTTTTATATCACTGATTAAATAAGTTCTTAAAACATCTCACAGAGATTCTTTTTTTCTTTCTTTCTTTCTTTCTTTCTTTCTTTCATTCATTCATTTTTTATTTCATTATTTATGTTAGATCTTTCGCTTTTGACTATCAAATATATCATTCAATGTAATATTTGATTGATTATTCATAGGGTTTTTTTTTAAGATTAGAATTTTTCAAACTTAATATTCTATTTGAATTTAAGTTGAATAAAAGGGTTTCTATATAAACAGTTATATTAGTTTGATGTAGAATAAAGAATCAATAATATACACCGAGGCGCAGTATTAGTTTAATTATAAGATCGAAGCTCGAACAAAATTGCATTTGTAAAACAAGAGCTTCTCGGTGGAACGAAAATTTCAAATCAATTATTACAAAAACAAACTATTTGAAAATTTGAAGAAGATATCATCATGAAACAATAAATGAGAAATATTAGCCAAATCATTTTCTTGTTATCCTTGAAAAAAATAATAGATATCATATTTTCTCAGATTACAAAAAAAAATTTACGCTTTTAGGCTCAAGTTTTTTTTCTTATGTTGGCCTGATAATTGGATACGCAACTCTTTTTTTTATTTCTCGTGCGAATTGTTAGGATTAATATTACGAAATACTATACGTAGAGTTAATATTTGATATAGATTTCCACATATTAGAAATTTCAGCAAATTACAAAATTAATGAATAAAAAGAAAAAAAAACATAATTATTCGTTTCTATGTTCAAGATTAACACAATTTTATAACTTCCATAGAATATATATATATATATATATATATATATATATATGATCGATCGTTGAGAGGTTCTATAGATATAATTGCAATCGTATCCTTTTGAATCATCAAATATCGAATATTCATGTTAAGTATCTTGCAAGTGTTCGAATTTCATGCGAATAATAAAATACTAATGGTTATTTACTGATTGCTATTACGTACCTTCAAGCAGTATTTGTAATATTTTTCTTTTGTTCTATTGAGAAAATAGCTTTTTATGAGTAACATATGAATACTACTTTTAATTCGCTTTCTCATACACTTGATAGACTGGAACATATCTTTGTTCAATTAAAATGAATAAAGTAGATTCTCTCTCTCTCTCTCTCTCTCTCTATATATATATATATATATATCGTTTCGTTTTTGACAATCATATTGATTGATTGATAAACGTAGAATATTATATTTTCGATTATCAATAATCATATGATAGATGTTCATATGTCAAATGAATTTTTCGGTTACTTGAAGTGTAATGAGGAAAAATAAAATCCGATTTCGTACTGCTTTTTTCCTTGTTTCTCATTAACACCAAAGATAGTTTGTTTAAAAATAAACATCCAATTAAAAAAAAAAGCTTCAAGTTATTTTTGTACTTTTTTTTTACTTTTCTTGCGTTTGAGCAGAAAAAAAATTCGACCATACCGACAACGTAAACCTAATCGTCTTTCTTTTTTTATTGCCATTAATTCAGTCTTATAGAAGTGACAAGATGAGACTTGATTACGTTCTAGATTCTTTTAGCGAAAGAAAAAAAAATAAAACATATTCATTTAACTATCACATAACTTTCTAAGAAAAATTCTTTTCATTAGAAAACTTGCGGATAAATTAATTAGAGAATAGTCTACATACTTTTACTTTTTTTTCTATCCATGCCTTACTTATAATAATAAAATGATCTAACATGAGAAAAACACACATTTTCTCACTAATAATCATCAATTGAACCTACTCTTTTCTCACTATGAATTGACATATATGTCAAGCTAAGTATTTGAAGAACTCTAAAGCATATGAAATTCCTTTCATCAGCATTCAAAATAGAAAAAGACGAAGAAATTGAATTCTATGTATGCTATCGGATAGTAGTAACTCTATAATCTACATGGAATACTTAATAAGATTTCTTTATTGGTTATATTGAATTCTATTAAAGAGTAACGCACCTGCTTCGTTGAACCATTAAACATATGTGTCTATGTGACTATTCAAGCAGTAAAAATAGTAGCAAAATCGAAGAATAGACAATCTATTAGGATCATTCTACGAAGAAAGTTTTTATCGATTCGATATCATGAACTTGTGATCAAGAAAAGAAAAACAAGAAGAAAGCATTATCCCCAATAGAGTAGACACAAGTTGTGTGGTCATCAATTTTTGCTTCTTCAATGTTATTAGTGATAATTTAACCTTTTTTTTTTCTCCAATTATGTAGAGCTGCGGCTTTTTACAAAAGAAGAGAATCAATATAGATGCTACAGATAGTCAGTTTTATTACGGAAGACAAATGAATATAGTATTAGTAACAGTAACAAGTTTTGAAAAACCTCTTAATAAAAAAAAAAGAAAAAAACGAGAGAAGCGCAAAGAGAAGAAAAACAAGTGTCATCTATGCCTGATTGCATTGCAACACAGAAGATAACTACATTTTGTTAGCGGAAGATGACACATCCAAGGTTCATTTCCTTCTACATTTCACTTGTGCGCTGGTTCATAAAATAGCATGAGAAATGATGAAAGAGCAGGTAACTCTCTAGCACTTAAAACTCACATACTACCTTTCACTTGTACTTTTTTATGCGTTACAAACAGCTGACAAGCATAATGATGAGTTATTTCAAAAGAAAAAAAAATAAAAGAAATCATAGAATGATCTAACTGATGTTCTCATATTTAAATGAGAAGAATTAATCAGCTAATTTAGAATGACAGTAGCAATTGATCTCGTCTTCCTTACTATCCATTTCATTAGTAACCCTAATGGTCAGACAGACGGACAACTGTCCATTCTATCTGTCCCATCGGATATATCAATACTATTTGAAATGCCACAATTAATAAATACATCATCAATGTCTTGTCGTCTATTTACGTACAAGAATGTGTTGTTCTTTCATTCATTTATATGACAGTTTAACACTTGAATATCTTGATAGATTCGATGATCGTCAATAGACCACAGAATATGTGAAAATGGAATAGAAAAATAATATATATATATATGTTTATTATTGTGAAAATAGAAGAATGAACAACTAATACTGAGTAAATATATTACTCAATTTTTTCGTTAGCGTGTTTTACGAGCTTGAGCTCGGTATCGGATGATCGTCGGAAACGATAATTTCTCAAATAACATATCAGTGAGACGTGTTCCTTCATTCTCATTTGTAATGTATGTATATATATATATAGGAGGGTGGAGATCTTCTAATGAAGAAGTCCTCGTCGTCGAAGAAAAGATGATGAAATAAATAGAATAAACTGTTCTTCTTTTTTTTTCCTACGATGGTTATTTCAGAGTATATAACGATAGGAGAAGACAGCGAAGGAGAGAGAGTGTGTGTAACGAGAGAGCAAGAGAGACAATGCAAGAGAAGAAAAGAGTGAGAGAGCAAAAAGAAGGGAAAATAATTTCGGATAGAGTTGGTGGTGGATGTGAAAGAAAGAACGAGAGAGACGACAAGAAAAGGAGAAAAGAAACAGTCGGTTGTCGTAGATCTGCTCGATCTGTTTTGAACAACGCCAACCAGCCAGTCAAGCAATTCGGATGTGGCTGTGGTCAATATTCGTCTTATTGTCAATTTTAGTTCCACTTGTTGCACCGATTAATGTTAGCGCTTATATGATAAATCAAACAACGGCTAATATATCATGGATATATCCACTCGATAAAAATAATCCCGATGATATCTCATTACTCGGTGGAATGATAAAAGGCTTTTATGTTATCGTTTTTGCACCATTATCAATGCAACCGCCTATTGTTCATCGCAATTATGAAGGTACCATTGGTACACAATATTGGGATATTGTCGGTAATTTAACACCTGGTACAACGTATCATGCACAAGTAAAAGCCTTTACGAAAAAAGGCGATGGAAAACCAAGTGTACCATACATATTTACAGTATCCAAAGAAGATTTTCGTGAGTGAAACAAAACAAAATAAAATCCTAATCATTCTTCATGTCTTCTCTTTTCTTTTCTTTTCTTTTCTTTTCCCCCCCTCATTTGCTTCTTTTTGCTCTTCTTAGCATTGTGTTATTTATAATTTGAGTATAGATATTATGATAGAAGAGATTACTTAGCGTGTATATGAATGCAAAGTGATTGATCATGATGATCATCATCACTGGACACGCCCCTAATGCTCCGAAAAAAGGAAAATGTGAAAAAACATTACTTTTCTTTATTCTTTTTGTGTGTGTATGTGTGTGTGTGTGTGTGTGTTTTTTATATATTTATCTCTCTTTCTCATATATTAAAGAGGAATAATTGTTATGAAGAAGAGAGAGAGAGAGAAGAAAAAACTTGATAGAAGAAATACTACGTTATCTAGCTGATGTATGCTCATCACCATCAATAACAGCAGCACTACAACTACTCCTACTCCAGCAAACATAGAGAAATCAATAATGAGAGTTCTTATGCAATTCTTAGCTTTTTTTCTCACACACGCATACAGCGACGAAGTAATAGTAATAATAGTCAGTCTTACTCAACTACTGTATTGCCTCCTGGTTGGTGGTATTGATGTGTCTATCAATAATTGTCTACTTGCGTATAGATTTCTATTATATATATATATATATATACGCATCCTGTATGTCGATAAACGAGTTTATTTGACAATTCAGGTGGATACTTTTTTTGTCACTCGTTAGAAGATCTTATTAAATGAATAAATGAATGCCTGTGAGTTGTGCAATGCGTTAAAGCGTATAATAAGGTTAGCTCAATCGATTGTTGTTCGGCTGGTGATGTTTTCAAACAAGATGTTGTATCTAATTTACTATTACTGACTGCTGGGAAAACTTGTTTTTTTTCTCTTCTTACATCACCATATGTCATAGGTCACGATCGTCTACATAGAACTAGCCAAAGTATTGTCCAATTTAGTATGTATGCTTGTCGGAAGTTGCCGTTCTCTATTTTAGTGCGTGACAGACATCTAACTAATTCTTATTTTACTAGAAAAAAAAATAGAAAGAAAAACTTGGCCGAGAATAAAGTGAAAGAAGAAAATGCCTTTATTGATCATGTCTTCACAACAGATCTTATCAATGTTGATGATTACAACAAGGTTTTATATTTATTGTTGATTATTCTTCTATATTCAATAAGCGAGATGCGATTTTACATGCATCTTTACAAATATAAGTTTGTATTTCTAGTCATAGTTAAATCATGTGTGAATGTCATTGAAAATCTAATGCATTCGATAAGTGAATGTGCGAGAAACAAAAAAAGCAAAAATTGATCTTTGAGTACTAAAGACTGAATGGATAAATGTGCCTCAGGCACATTATTGACCGAGTGCGATGGGCAATGATTGAATATTGTAGAATCAGTCTATGTGTAAAATTCAATCAAATCAAAGTCGAATTTTTCAATATTATTTAATTTATCTAAATATTTCATTGAAAACCATGTTTTATTTCCATGAAAAAATTTAAAAGGATTTTTCGATATAAGAATAATTTCAACTTCAGTCCATGCATCATCTGTATTTAATGGATGATCTAAATAACATACGTCAAGTGTATGATAATGAATATTTTTTTTCTTAAGTTTTTTTGTTTTTGGCAATTCCCATTTATCAAATTTATTTTTGTTTAATAGAATAAATTTTTTATTAGTCTTTTCGGTAATTATTAATGATATGATATAACGATTTGGTCCATAGTTATCAAATAAACTTTGACCTGATAAGCCTGTACGTCCATAAGGATTTTTTATAGTTGAATTTTGATTTAAATTTTTTCTTTTTTTTAATGAAAAATTTAATGGTTGATAATCGGAAAATGAAATATTCCATGATGAATATTCCAATGGAACATATTGGCGTTGAGATTGAATAAAGTTTAGAAATGATTTTATCGAATGCTTAGATTTACTAATGAATAGTGAGGAATTGTTTCGACAGAAATAATTTTGATTTTGATTTTTATTAAATATTTCCCATTGAAATAGAGATGAATCAAAAAGATTTAACTTGAAAGAATTTTTACTTTGTAATGAATTGAAATTTAATTGAGAATATTCATTTAAACATTTTGGAACAGTTGGAAATATAGAAGATTTTAAGAGATTATTTTTATTAGTAAAGGTGATTGAAGATGACTTTTGAAATGTATTTGGACAATATTTTGATTGTAATCGAGCACTAAGTTTTAGTTTTGGTTCAGGAGAATCAATAGACGTTTCAAGATTTCTTTTTATATCTTTAATAAATTGACTTATCGTTATTTGGGGAAATCCATTTTCGTGTCTAGACTCGCTGACGTATGTAGATTGAGAAATAGAACAACTTGTTTGATTACATTTATTGTCAATTAATTTTGTTTGCGGTTGTGTTGAGGAAAGTTTTTCACTCAGTTTCTATTAGAGAAATTATTATTATTAGATTTTGTAAGATGTGTTGATCATTGTATTTACTTGTCTTTTCGGTTGAGAATAATCAAGATCGAAAGATGAGGATGATGATGATGATGAAGATAAAATAGAATTTTTACTCTGTAGTTTAGAAAAGAGATATATTCGACTAAATAATAAATGTTTTTTTGATTTACAATAATAAAATAAACATGAACATGCCTGATGAGTAGTAGATAGTTTAGTTAAAATTGATGATGAACTGCTCGTTATTAATTGATTCTGTTCATTCAAGATCTAATAAAGTGAAATTAAAATTTAGTTTTTCCATCAATGGAAAATTAATAATGTGTTCGAATAAATAGTTAGTGAAATAATAATGATATGCTTCTTTTTTAGAAATATCAATCGATATAATGCAACTTGGAATTATTCATATTCAGTTCATTAATTGTATTTCTGTGTAACGTATGGGTTCTAGTCACTCTGTGAGATATATGCCTGCGGATTTCTGTATTCGTATTCTACTAGAAATGTTGACCTTTAGAACTTACGCTCGCTTAAACACACACTAAGTTATGATGAGTAGTATTCATGTTTACTTAGTGCTTCATAATTGTCAAGGAGGAGGGCATTGTAGATCAACTGACCTATTATTATGTGTGTATCTGTCTTGAAAAATATCATGAAAAAAACCATTCCGTTCGATAAATTGATTTGAAGTAGGCTGAAAAGTCTTTTTTACTTCAAGAAAAAAAGATTTTTTTTCAATATTTCAAAAACAAACAATCCATTGAAGATTAATTTCTGCTCTTCAATGTTATATGCCGCAGTCTTAAGAGGTTATTTTTTGAAATAACAGTTTTTTTTGATTGCCTGAATGGAGTATAAAATTGAAATAAGAAGAAAAGTAAAGCAATATTTTCGATTTTCTGAAGTTTTTAATTAAGTGGTTGAACTGTCAAGTATTTGCCTTCGATTTTTAATAAAAATAGGAGCTAATTTCAGCTCTTCACTCCTTAATGTTTTTTCAAAGTGTGAAAATGATAAGCTATATTAGAAAATGATGACATGTGACTAATCATTTCTGTTGGTCTCAAAGCCCCAGAGAGTGTAGACTAGACGAGATTTTGATTTAAACGGATGTTCAGTTTTAGAGATGGTGTGTAATAATATAAAAAAAAACCTTTGAAACATGATATTTAAGTTTCAAAACCTGCAAAGGGTACTACAACTTCTCTTTCCTCACGAGTTACATCCTTGTTGTGCTTGCAGCCAAGCAAACAAGTTCCAAATGATGTCGCTGACTGACACGACGCGTGCTGCAAATTGTTTTTGATTTCCAAAAATTATGGTGACTATCATTGGAAAATGAAAAAGATTGTAGTTCTGTAAAATTCTACATAGATATTCTAGAGTATGAGTTATCTTAACATTCAAATTGCTGTAATCGAATCAATAATTCTGTATTTACATATATCTATTAGAATATGATGGAGAAATTTTCTGAATGAAAAACTAGATATGCATAAGGCTATATATTTTCCAAGAGATTTTCCGGTTTATCTTATCAACATAAATGAAATTCCTAGTATAACATGATGTTGGCAACGCTTTTTTTTGAAGATTACTTCCGCAACACCGAACGCTATCATTTCCGGCGTACTTGACACAGTAAAAAATTCAGCCGATTTGAACTTAATCTACTTTAGGGGCTAAATATATTCCAAAATGAAACAACTTTTTTCTTCTTACCAGAAAAATGATCAGTGATTATTATGGTTAGAAAACTATCGATCATGACATAGCAGATTTTCGTAGCTTTCAAATTGCGACCGAAAATTCAGCCAATTAAGAAAAAACGGTCGCAATTTGAAATGAAGAATTTTACGTTGATCCCACTTTTTATTCGATTCCAAATTGCGACCACTTTTCAATTATCAATCAGTCAATATTTTTAATGGAAAAAATTTATTGAAAAAAGACTAAAGAAAATTATTCCTCATCACTACTATCTTTTATAATGTGGATGTAGCGATGAGAAATAGCACGCAAAACTTTTTGAACATTTTCTGGCAATTTCGGTTCATGCTTATGATTTTCACCATTGGATTTTATAATTACATTATTTTTCAATGCTATAGAACGAGAGCACCATTTATTAGTGCAGACATAAAGTGATGAATTGTTCTTATTTTCTCGCTTTAAATGAAATAAATAGTTATTGTATAGAATAGCCTTTTTGTCACCTTTTTCGGTAGTTGACCAAGTAAAGTTCGTATTCATTGTATGATATGCACTAGCAATCTTTTTTCCCACGCTTATATATCAACATTGTCATTACAGTACGACTCATCATCATATATATTGATAACTAATCAATTAAAAGTGGTCGCAATTTGGAATCGAATAAAAAAAAAGGAGATCAACGTCAAATTCTTCATTCCAAATTGCGACCACTTCTTTCTTAATTGGCTTAGTTTTCGGTCGCAATTCGACCATAATCCAGATTTTTCTATTCGTGTAGCTTACATTATCAATTAATTTTATCGGTTCGATTCTATGATTATCGATAGATGATCTTTGACTGATTCTTGTTTTTGGTGGACTTGGTAAACAATGAAGAAGCCTTTCATATGATGATGATGCAGTTTTCTAATTAAATTTTTCTATTCAATAATAATAATAATGCAATAGAGAAAGAAAGAAAAACCTTTATAGAATATAAATGTTGTTCGCTTTCGAAGCCTTTTATTGATAATATTTGTTGATTACTTGATGAAAAATTATTATGAAAACATATTGGAACATCATAGAAAGGAGAAATCGCGTTTCTACTACTATTTTCTTTCCATATGTCTATTGACGATAAAATGGCATTATAATTTTTTTCATTTCTATTTTGTTGAAAATTTGAATAATTTAATGATTGAAATTGATGTAAACAGTCTAATGTAAATAAACAACATAAATTACAAGTTTTGTCTTGTTTAGCCATTTGATTTTGATTCATAAGCAAAGATAGATCGATACCATATGTATGATTATATTGATGTTTATTCGTAGACGCGAGCATTTCATTATTATGATTAGACATACATATATAAATGCCAAAAGAGAAGACGAAAAAACTATATATAAATCAAATTAAAAAAATATATTCCCGCTATATCTATATTTCGTTTTTCTATTAGGACAATTAACTCCAAGTAATTTAACAGCATACGTTGTCAATTCACATACGTTGAGCGTTACATGGGACTTGCCATCTAATGTGAATGCTATCAATAAAATTTATATAACTGTAATTGAACTTGGTAGAACAAATCGAACGATACAAGCACAAGAATTTGACAATACAATTAAAAAATTAGATATTCAAATCGATTCTAATGATCCATTTGGTATTTTAATCGAAGGTTGTCTTTTTTCCTCGATTTAAATATTTATTTTCACTTAGGTATTCATCCAAATCGAACTATACACTTTTCGGCTCGATGTTCCGATCGTAATGGGCAAAATTCATCAATTATTGAATATCAACTATATGTCAATATGCTCAGTAAGTTGAGATGTAAAATATATATATTTTACTTCATTCTTTTTTTATTCAATGTCTCAAACTTCTTAAAATATGCAAAGATTCAATGAGAAAGAACAAAGAAAATTTTCTCTTTCGCTTTCTTGCTGTGTGATGTTGACAGAACGACATCCTGTTGTAAAAGCATGGGCACACACTCGAAAGAGTGGCAGCTATTATTATATTTGATTTATGTCACACGGAAAAGAAGGATGATCGATTGACATATACAACGAAGAAAACGAGAGAGAGAGAGAGAAAAGAAAGAAACTCGAAGGTCTCTTGCAATACAAATTGAGATTCTTTCTCGTTTATTTTTTGCTTATATCTACGTGTTCAATTAAATCTTGAATTTGATAAACTAAATAGGCCAACATCAATTTTATCATAAATCAGATCATGTGCGCGGCTACGGCTTCATATTACATCTATGTACATACATAAACACGCATGCGATTTGATTCGACTTCATCAATCTCCTATATGAGATTTTTTTTATGGTGTTCTTATTCTTTGCCATTCTTTCTTTCTTCTGTGAAGCGAACACGCACACACAACACACATTCCTTTTTTGTTTGCATCTTTGGAACAGACAAAAAAAGGCATTAGAAGCAGTAGCAATAGATATCTCTCTTTTTTTTCTTTTCGTCTTGCTATCCTTTTTTTCTTCTATTTGCATTAACTGACTTGAAGAGAATAAAAAATCAAGTTAGTAGAGAAACGACAGAACGAGCGAGAACGTTCAACCGAAGAAAGTTTCTTTTCTTGCTATTACACAGATGTAAAATTTGATCGTTTTTTTCTCCTGAACTTCTCTATCTCTGATGTGGCTATTATTAAAACAAGAAAAAGAAACGTTGAATAACCGAGAGACACAGAGAAAGAGAGAGAGAAAAAAAGGAGAAAGAACTTACCAATGAGTCTTTCATCATAGATTATTGTATTAAAACTAAAGAATAGAAACAACTTACGTCTATTATATAATGATACAAACAACAATAATAATACGAAATCAAGCATTATTTTAATGCCTTACTTCATGTTTCATCATATTCTTACACTTTTGCTTCTTCTTTCCCTAAATTATCATCCAAGTGTCAATATTACAGCACCTCCAAAAACCTATTATGCTCAAGTACCTCGTTCATCAACTCGTAAGACAAGCTTGTACTTTCAATTTCTTTTTTTTTCTTATCCAAAAATATTTTTATCATCAATTCTCGTTATAAATGCCTCTATATATGTATATAATTTAGATCCATCGCCGCGTGATATTCGTGTTGTTCGTATCAATGACACAACAATTCAAGTGTTCTGGCTACCAATCTATCATCCACCAGTTGAACGATATATTGTTCATTATAATGATAAGGCTGAAAATAAACCTGAAAATCAATGGGCATTATATTCACCATCACATCCAAGCACAACAACAGCAACCATAAGTGGCTTAAAACCAGATGCTATGTATAATGTTCGTGTCAGTGCAGAATTTTCTGCAAATATTTACGAACGATACAATTCATCGGGAACAGAACGCCGCGAAGGAGATTTATCTGAGATTCATGTTGCTGATATATATCATCGTAAGTTTTTTTCTTTCATAAAAAGTCAAACTATTTTCCTTTTTGCGATTGCATGACAAGAAATTTCTTTTTGCTTCGTGTCATTTCATGTTTGTCTCAATTGAATCAGAACATAGCAAAATCGCTGTCATTCTTTCATAACAAACTGAGAATAGTAATGATTTTAGGAATATGAAACATCAAAAGGAAAGAAAACATGAGAAACTATTTATTATGCCCCGAAGAAAAAAACTGCATTGAGCTATGACTTTTTATCAAGGTCAGAAAAAAAGAGAGAACAAATTGAGTTCTTTTTTCTTCTTCGTCTGTGTGGTTTCATCTTAATTGATTTTATATGCAATTCGAACAGCGAGCGATAAATACAAGCACATGTCTTGCGTGATAAATTCTTCATGTGCAAATTCTTTTTAATGATCTCCGTCTGGTGTTCGACGTGATGATGTGCCTATCAAATAATCATTGGTCTGTAAAATGATCCATTCGACTGACCATTATCATATAATAATCACTATCAAGCAAAAATTTAACTGAAGAATCGATTAAGTGAATGAGCGATTTTATGAAAAGAATATTCGTGTTTAATCATCAATTCTATTAGTGTCTCCGTTGAGATCAATAATCAACTGTGTAGATCTTTATCTCTGGAGAACAAGATAACTGGAAGAAAAAAAAGAATTCTTCTTCTTCTTCTTTTTTTACTATGAAATTCAATAATAAAAGCAAAAAATTTGTATTTGTTTCGATGATTTGGCGTGTTGGCACTATGATTATCATCATGCAATAGATAGAGAAAGATAATGTTTATGACAGAACAAAAAAAAAGACAAAAAAAGAATAGGTTTTAGTCATTCATGTAATTGCATGACTATTGAGACATTATATATATCAAGGAATTTTAAATAATTAAAAAGAAAAAAAACAGATAATTGACAAAAAAAATAATATTAAATAGTTGTTCTTTTATTTTTATCAAGACTTCTAAGCGAGCGATGAGATCTGAAGTTTCTATTATAATATAGCCATACGATGGTACTGTCTCTGATTATTTTTTTCCCCGTACTTATACTTTCGGCGAGCTGCTTATAGATGAATACACTTAAAAAGGTCTTAACTATAGATAATCTACAGATAGCAAAATCGAGGGTATTGAATTCTATCATTATTAATGAATTTCGAGGAATGTTCAAAGAATGGTAGAGTTACATGAAAAGGATGATGAATCAAAACAAAAGACTAATCAGAAGTTTTTTTTTTTATTCAATCAAGATGGTCTTATGTAGCTAGAGAATGTTAGTTACTGAGTATCAACACATTGGGCATTTTTACAAGAAATAAAAAAAAATTAGTTTCAAAACCAAAAACAAATTGTGTTCTATTCAAATGATAATTTATCTAGTCCTCGAGTCGATACAAAAAAGCTTTTAGACAATTCATGAATTTTTATTGTGCTTTTGTGCAATTCTTTTCAAGGGTGCTCTTCTAGTGTTGCGAGAGGATTTCATTGAGATCTGTAGGCAAACATTTTTTTCTTATTCTGTACTACGACTATGATAAATTTTCTTAACCTTTTCATATTGTACCCTACTGGATAGGATTATCTCATACATATATATATATATCAGATCACTACGAGCCTCAGCAGTAGTTTCATATCATCGGAGCAATCAGATCTATTACAAAAGCTATCAGTACAATCCTTGCGGGAGTCAAATGTGAAACACGATAGAGTTGTTATTCACATCTACCAACAGAGAGTTGCCGGTCGATTGTCACGGTTTGTCAGACGAGAGAGTGCATAGATCTAAATGTATACCGTGACATTTCAAGACTCGCTGTAGATCATATTTCCTAACATATAAACTATTATTGATTGAAATATTATATAACACCTTCAATATTTTTTTAATTGTTCATTTTAAATTAAAAAGAAAAGACATCAAGCATTAATTATTTTATATATTGTAGGTACAAGAGAAATTGTTCAATACGATGATCAATTAAGTCGACCTACTAATCTAAGTTATGTTGATCTTACATCCAATAGTGTTAAACTATTATTTTTCTTTAATGAAACAAATCTTGATCCACGGCGGCAAATACAAAAACTTGAAGTTTGTTAATCAAAATTAAACATAATTCTATACAGACTATTTTCTTCTTCTTCTTCTTCTTCTAATCTAATAGGTTCACTATGAAGGTATACAAAATTATGTAGATGGTTTAGGTACAATACGTTCAACTTCTCATCACAATCTAGCTGGTCTTATATCGATTCCGCCAACGGCAGGTGCACGTGAATGGCTTGTTACTAGTTTAGTTCCGAATACTCAATATACATTCAATTTAAGTGGTGCAATATCATCAACAGAACAATCTTCGATAAAAATCTATAGCCTTCCTGCAACAATACGTTTGTCAACTGATTTCGATGCACCACCCTATGTTGATCGACCTGAACAAGATCGACGAATTTTAACTAAAACAAATGGCTTATCGATTGTTCCACAACAAGTTCATTTACGTCTTCATCGTGCATCAACAAAAAATGGACCCATCGATCGATATTATGTTGTTGTTCATCTTATTGAACATGTTTCATACCGATCCTATGTACCACAAGAGGTATGTAGTGGTGTGCAAAAAGAAAAGAAAATTTCTTTTCTAATATTTTTAATTCATTTTTAAAAATAGGGTCGTCGCGAATGTTGTTACACAGCAGGTGTATTTAATGAATCTCAATTACCAGATATCTTCGTATTAGGTGATGGTAAAGAAACACGCGATTGGGAACCATTTCATGGCCGTGTTTATAATAATTCTCCAGTAAGCAATGGTTGTAAAGTTAAATTAGTATCATGGGGTTTTAATCGTAAAAAAGAAAATTTAACAACATCAAGTTCAACAATACAA